ATTCTTTCCTTTACACGGATCAGTCGTCCTGGTCCCTTTGCAGAAAAACAGCCCCAAAGCATGATGTTTCCACCCACATGCTTCACAGTAGGAATGGTGTTCTTTGGATGCAACTCAGCATTCTTTGTCCTCCAAACACAACGAGTTGAGTTTTTACCAAAAAGTTCTATTTTGGTTTCATCTGACCATATGACATTCTCCCAATCCTCTTCTGGATCATCCAAATGCACTCTAGCAAACTTCAGACGGGCCTGGACATGTACTGGCTTAAGCAGGGGGACACGTCTTCCACTGCAGGATTTGAGTCCCTGGCGGCGTAGTGTGTTACTGATGGTAGGCTTTGTTACTTTGGTCCCAGCTCTCTGCAGGTCATTCACTAGGTCCCCCCGTGTGGTTCTGGGATTTTTGCTCACCGTTCTTGTGATCATTTTGACCCCACGGGGTGAGATCTTGCGTGGAGCCCCAGATCGAGGGAGATTATCAGTGGTCTTGTATGTCTTCCATTTCCTAATAATTGCTCCCACAGTTGATTTCTTCAAACCAAGCTGCTTACCTATTGCAGATTCAGTCTTCCCAGCCTGGTGCAGGTCTACAATTTTGTTTCTGGTGTCCTTTGACAGCTCTTTGGTCTTGGCCATAGTGGAGTTTGGAGGGTGACTGTTTGAGGTTGTGGACAGGTGTCTTTTATACTGATAACAAGTTCAAACAGGTGCCATTAATACAGGTAATGAGTGGAGGACAGAGGAGCCTCTTAAAGAAGAAGTTACAGGTCTGTGAGAGCCAGAAATCGTGCTTGTTTGTAGGTGACCAAATACTTATTTTCCACCATAATTTGCAAATAAATGCATTAAAAATCCTACAATGTGATTTTCTGGATTTTTTATTCTCAATTTGTCTGTCATAGTTGACGTGTACCTATGATGAAAATTACAGGCCTCTCTCATCTTTTTAAGTGGGAGAACTTGCACAATTGGTGGCTGACTAAATACTTTTTTTCCCCACTGTATATGTATATATATATATATATATACAGTGGGGAGAACAAGTATTTGATACACTGCCGATTTTGCAGGTTTTCCTACTTACAAAACATGTAGAGGTCTGTAATTTTTATCATAGGTACACTTCAACTGTGAGAGATGGAATCTAAAACAAAAATCAAGAAAATCACATTGTATGATTTTTAAGTAATTCATTTGCATTTTATTGCATGACATAAGTATTTGATACATCACAAAAGCAGAACTTAATATTTGGTACAGAAACCTTTGTTTGCAATTACAGAGATCAAATGTTTCCTGTAGGTCTTGACCAGGTTTGCACACACTGCAGCAGGGATTTTGGGCCACTCCTCCATACAGACCTTCTCCAGATCCTTCAGGTTTCAGGGCTGTCGCTGGGCAATACGGACTTTCAGCTCCCTCCAAAGATTTTCTATTGGGTTCTGTTGTCACCTTCTCACCAAGCTGCTTGGCGATGGTCTTGTAGCCCATTCCAGCCTTGTGTAGGTCTACAATCTTGTCCCTGAGATCCTTGGAGAGCTCTTTGGTCTTGGCCATGGTGGAGAGTTTGGAATCTGATTGATTGATTGCTTCTGTGGACCAGATGTCTTTTATACAGGTAACAAACTGAGATTAGGAACACTCCCTTTAAGAGTGTGCTCCTAATCTCAGCTCGTTACCTGTATAAAAGATACCTGGGAGCCAGAAATCTTTCTGATTGAGAGGGGGTCAAATACTTATTTCCCTCATTAAAATGCAAATCCATTTAATAACATTTTTGACATGCGTTTTTCTGGATTTGTTGTTATTGTTATTCTGTCTCTCACTGTTCAAATAAACCTATCCTTAAAATTATAGACTGATCATTTCTTTGTCAGTGGGCAAACGTACAAAATCAGCAGGGGATCAAATACTTTTTTCCCTCACTGTATATACAGTTGAAGTCGGAAGTTTACATACACTTAGGTTGGAGTCATTAAAACTCGTTTTTCAACCACTCCACTTGTTAACAAACTATAGTTTTGGCAAGTTGGTTAGGACATCTAGTTTGTGCATGACACAAGTAATTTTTCCAACAATTGTTTACAGACAGATTATTTCACTTATAATTCACTGTATCACAATTCCAGTGGGTCAGAAGTTTACATACACTAAGTTGACTGTGCCTTTAAACAGCTTGGAAAATTCCAGAAAATGATGTTAAGGCTTTAGAAGCTTCTGATAGGCTAATTGACATCATTTGAGTCAATTGGAGGTGTACCTGTGGATGTATTTCAAGGCCTACCTTCAAACTCAGTGCCTCTTTGCTTGACATCATGGGAAAATCAAAAGAAATCAGCCAAGACCTCAGAAAAAACATTGTAGACCGCCAAAAGTCTGGTTCATCCTTGGGAGAAATTTCCAAACGCCTGAAGGTACCACGTTCATCTGTACAAACAATAGTACGCAAGTATAAACACCATGGGACCACGCAGTGTTGGGTATTTTTCAGTAGACCATACAGAGCCATGGTACCGAGTGGTACACAAGGTCAGACCATAGGTTAAACATAGTACATATTTTTACACTATAAAGATTAAAACATAGTTAATCATGAAGACAAGCAGTACGACTAAGTGAATACGGAGTGTGGTACACAAGGAGGGAGTCTGAGCCAGAGTCAGGACATGGCTCTTGATTGATTATACTGTTATGCATGAGGCAATGCATTAGGAATGTCTTAAATGTATATGATTGGGAATGGGTTATGGACCTGCCATGTTTAAACCATATTTAAGTATCGATTGATATGTTTTGGAATAAACAGAGCAGAGCCAGGAGATGGCTCTGTTATTTTTTACATGAGAAAGCTTGGTTCGGCCACTATTGTTTTCAAACTGAATATATATAGGAGGAGAAGTCAGATTTCGCCACTATTATAAATAAAGAGAGTGGGCGGAGCGAAGATGAATGTTTGGAAACAATAGTGGAGAAACTGAACTGGGAGGGTTTAAGCTAAAGAGTATGTAAAACGAGCAGGAATGGAAATTGTATATAAACTGAAGGTCAAGTGTTGGGAGTTTAGTTGCTCTGCAGACCAACTCGGCTTTTGTTGCTCTGTGTAATAAAGTCTATCTTGATTCTACAAAAACTGATTTTTAATAAGTATAGTGATACATTTCTACGACAGCAGCCGTCATACCACTCAGGAAGGAGACGCGTTCTGTCTCCTAGAGATTAACGTACTTTGGTGCGAAAAGTGCAAATCAATCCCAGAACAACAGCAAAGGACCTTGTGAAGATGCTGGAGGAAACAGGTACAAAAGTTTTTTTATTTAACCTTTATTTAACCAGGTAAGCCAGTTGAGAACAAGTTCTCATTTACAACTGCGACCTGGCAAGTATCTATATCCACAGTAAAACAAGCCTTATATCGACATAACCTGAAAGGCTGCTCAGCAAGGAAGAAGCCACTGCTCCAAAACCGCCATAAAAAAGCCAGACTACGGTTTGCAACTGCACATGGGGACAAAGATTGTACATTTTGTAGAAATAGTGTATATCAATGATGTCGCTCTTGCTGCTGGTGACTCTCAGATCCACCTCTACGCAGACGACACCATTTTGTATACATCTGGCCCTTCATGGGACACTGTGTTAACAAACCTCCAAACGAGCTTCAATGCCATACAACACTCAGTAGCCTCCAACTGCTCTTAAACACTAGTAAAACTAAATGCATGCTCTTCAATCGAACGCTGCTGGCACCCGCCCACCCGACTAGAATCACTACTCTCGACGGGTCTGACCTAGAGTATGTGGACAACTACAAATACCTAGGTGTCTGGTTAGACTGTAAACTCTCCTTCCAGACTCACATTAAGAATCTCCAATCCAAAGTTAAATCTAGAATCGGCTTCCTATTTCGCAACAAAGCCTCCTTCACTCATGCTGCCAAACATGCCCTCGTAAAAATGACTATCCTACTGATCCTTGACTTCGGCGATGTCATTTACAAAATAGCCTCCAACACTCTACTCAGCAAATTGGATGTAGTCTATCACAGTGCCATCCGTTTTGTCACCAAAGCCCCATATACTACCCACCACTGTGACCTGTACGCTCTTGTTGGCTGGTCCTCACCTCATATTCGTCACCAAACCCACTGGCACCAGGCCATCTATAAATCACTGCTAGGCAAATCCCAGTCTTACCTTAGCTCACTGGTCACCATAGCAACACTCACCCGTAGTCTGCGCTCCAGCAGGTATATCTCACTGGTCATCCCCAAAGCCAACACCTCCTTTGGCCGCCATTCCTTCCAGTTCTCTGCTGCCAATGACTGGAACGAATTGCAAAAATCTCTGAAGCTGGAGACTCTTATCTCCCTCACTAACTTTAAGCATCAGTTGTCAGAGCACCTTACTGATCACTGCATCTGTACACAGCCCATCTGAAATTAGCCCACCCAACTACCTCATCCCCATATTGTTATTTATTTTGCTCATTTGCACCCCAGTATCTCTATTTGCACATCATCTCTTGCACATCTATCATTCCAGTGTTAATACTAATTGTAATTATTTTGCACTATTGCCCATTTCTTGCCTTACCTCCATAACTTGCTACATTTGCACACACTGTATATATATATTCTGTTGTATTTTTGACTTTATGTTTTGTTTTACCCCATATGTTTACTCTGTGTTGTTGTTTTTATCGCACTGCGTTGCTTTATCTTGGCCAGGTCGCAGTTGTAAATGAGAACTTGTTCTCAACTGGCTTACCTGGTTAAATAAAGGTTAAATAAAAAATAAATAAATGAAAAAACCATTTTAAACGTAAACTTCAATGGGGTAGGTACGAACCCGTGCCAGATAATCGAATCCCCTCACTGATGTGTCCTGATGTGTGCATTACGCGTATCCATATATGATTGGGTTATACGTAGCATTATGTGCAGACTAAACCAATCATAGTAAAAGGTTTATCCCTTTGGACATATTAAAACCGCGCCTCCTCCAATTGGATATCACTGCAGTTGTCTGATAATGGGCGGAGGGTAAAAGCCTGCATTAGGCGGTTGTCTCCACCCCGGATATACCCACTTTCCCCCCGGCACATATACGTACATTAGGGCCGCCACGGCTACACTTTCTCTTGTTCATGGTTCGAATCTGCGAGAGAAGGATGAAGTTTTTGGTTGCAGTCACCGTAATCGTTGGGTCAGTGATATTTCTGCTCTTCCCGAGCGGATCAGACGCTGACGAGAAACAGAAGGGCCCAAAAGTCACGGCCAAGGTAAGGCACCTAGCAATTGCAAGAGTAGCTAGCAAATCGAAAGTCTGGATGGATAAAAACCAATTTTTTTCGCACAGCTAACGTTTGCAGTAACAAACCGTATTGTACTGTCTGACTTTTCAGTTCTAAAACATTGCGAACTACAATGTCACAAGACGTGATACAATAACAATGAAACAAACTCGGCTAAATGAGATGCAGCCGCTAGGTACTAGTTAATGCACGGCCTCGATGCTTGCAAGGAATGCAGGCCTTAGTTAGCTAGTTTTCTTGCTGCCCGGTTTGCAATGTGTTCAATCCAGTCTATTCAATCTTTACCTATATCTTGAAATGTCTTTGTAACAATATCTGTTCAACCATCTGCTTGAAGGAAATGTGTTAACATGTTACATTGTCTGGTGGAGTTAGCTAGCTGCTGTAGTTAACTAGGCCACGTCCACTTGGGGCTACGTGTGATTCTCTGCGCCCAACGTCGTAAGGTAATTCACGAGTCTAACGAAATAAAACGTGCACACGTGTATTGGAAGTAATTTTTCCATTTCTGTTTGTGCAATCATTGGGTTGTTTGTGACCGGTTATAGGCAATGCAGTTAATGTGGTCTTTATTTCCATAATCAAGTTTCCGGACATCCCACTGCAACTAATGGTTAAATAAACTAAGAAACCGGTTTTTTTTTGTGCAAACGACAACCTTTCAAACAAGCCTGGCATACAGGACTGTCTGGGCGTAGTCTTCCTCTAAATGAAATGCCAAAACTATGTTTTTAGTTTTAAAGCCACTGTAAGCAGTAGTGGTGTGTGGGTAAAATCAATGGGGAAGCCAGAAGAAAAAAAAATATTACAACCTGTGTTGTGATTATTGCGTTGTTTGCTCTATATAGTTAAGGCCTTGCGACCGTGATATATATATCTATTAGGCCGAGACAAAAAGACACAGTGGCAGAATAAATTCAACCACACTTTTTTTGTTTTATCACAAAATCGGATAGCAACCTCTGTCTGGTTTAGTCCACAAAGCATATTGCATGTAACAGACAGTTACATGACCTACAGCATGGTCAAGCAAGTTGTTTCAGTATTTTTCGGACCACTAAACACCAATTGATTTAGAACCACAAGTCGGAAAGAAAACAGGAGCTGCCTCCACAATTCCAGCACCATTTCAACTTCAACATATCAACGTCATCAAATCACCTCTGCTTAGGCTAATACAGTGACAATTAAAATATACCAAAAACAATTTAGCCCCATCAATGTAAACTAAATGTGGCTGTCCATGGTTCTGATTTCTGTGCGTTCGTGCAAATAGAAAAATGACTCGCCCTACTTGTAGACATGCAAATGCCATCCGCGACTTACAGCTAGTGCATACTTTTTATTTTTTATTTTTCCTCATGTTGAAGAAACGGTCTATCACTGTCATACAGTACACGCTTTTTTTGTTGTTCTAGGCTATCTGGCTAAAATGCTTGCTCTAGCCTAACTTCCATTCATGGGCAACGTTTAGCTAGTTCACATTAGCCTTCTACATCTAGCAACATATTGCATTTCCATCCTCTCAGGCCAGGGGCACAACAATGTATGAATTAATGATTGGAGCAGAATCGCCATTATAATCATTGGTCAGTACGGAGAACCACAAGGCCAAATCCATATCTCCATGGCTAATTTAGGAAAGGGACAACTTTAGCTAGCTAGCCACCGAAGGACAACCACACAATGAGATGCAACAATTCAAGTTTCTGTCAAATGACGTAAGCTCTCAATGCGATTTGAAAGGTGTTACGCCAACCCCAAGCTAGCTTCCCTTGGTACGCATTCACAGTTGAGCTCAACGCTAATTGTAAAACTTTTTTTTATCAAGGAAGGCCAAATGCTCGCTGGCTTCCATTGCATTCCATTCAATGCTATTGGTGGCAACAATGTCATACTCGTTTGGACCAAACCGCATCAGATAGATGGCCTACACGTAGAGACAGAGGGACGCTGTTTAGCTCGCTCGGATGCTTTTTCCGGTGAGCTACATTCAGCCTCTTGCGAATTGAAGGAAAATTATGAAACATGGAGAGATGGAAAATAAGTTGTTTTAATTTTTGTACTTTATTTTTTCCGGAAGCTTGGCATCCATTCACACACCACTTGATTTCCATGATAGGCCTATATCTTCAAGTGCTCAAGGGATGACATTCAAGTTGCTTTTGATAATTCCTGCTAACCCATTTACTCACGCTTTCCCATCTTAACAGGTTTATTTTGACATCAGAATTGGAGATGAGGATGTTGGACGAATTGTCATTGGGTTGTTTGGGAAAACGGTACCCAAGACCGTCGAGAACTTCATTACACTAGCAACTGGAGAGGTGAGTTAAAAAAAAATATATATATACCCAGGGTATCGATTTAGCCAATGCATGTAATGTTATGGTAGAACCATTGAGGTACTGACTAATGCATTGCTTCTTGTCTCAACAGAAAGGATTTGGCTACAAAAGCAGCAAGTTCCACAGGGTTATCAAGGACTTCATGATCCAGGGTGGTGACTTCACCAGAGGAGATGGCACTGGCGGTGAGGGGAATTTTCACACTTAGATATAGATCTAACTACAAATAAGGATATGGGCATCAATGCAAATGTTGATTAACGTCAATGTCCTTGTTTCCTTGAAGGCAAGAGCATCTACGGAGACCGCTTCCCTGATGAAAACTTCAAGCTGAAGCACTACGGACCTTACTGGCTGAGCATGGCCAATGCTGGGAAGGACACAAACGGCTCCCAGTTCTTCATCACCACCATTCAGACACCTTGGTTGGACGGCAAGCACGTGGTCTTCGGCAAAATTTTGGAAGGCACGGTGAGTTCTCCCCAAACACCCCCACAAAACAAATACACACCTCCCCCTGCAGATGAATCTGTTTTCATACCCCTCACGTGGTATTGCTCTCCTACAGGATGTGGTGAAGAAGATTGAGGGCACAAAGACAGACGGCCGGGACAAGCCCCTCAAAGACGTGTCCATCCACGACTGTGGAAAGATCGACGTGGAGAAACCCTTCGCGATCGCCAAGGAGTAAAAACAAGTCAACTCTGTTTTTAAATGGGGGAGCAGGACTGTGGGGTTTAGGCAGACCATTGCATTTTCTGTTTTGCTTACCACTGGTCCTGTAGTGGGGCTCCTGCTCGGGCTGTCCTGGTAGCAGAAGCTGCCCATTGAAGTTAAGTGCCAGACCAACAAAGGCACACTGGGTCCATTTCCAAACAGGCATTCCAGTATGGTTGTCGTGCAGCTGATACCTGCTCATTTTGTAAAGAATAAATCTTCAATAAAGGATCCAGGTTTTGTTAAGATGGTTTCTAGTGTTCAATCATTAAGGTTTTTGTAATTTTATTCACGTAGTCACAACCTTGGTATGCCTTAACGTGTTCTTTTTAGTTTGTGTTATACCTTATTTTTAGTATTACATTGTTATTGATTACTGCATTGTTGGGGTTAGAGCTTGCAAAAAAGGCAGTTCACTGTACTTGTGCATGTGACATTAACTTAACTTGATAAAAATGGCACTAAGTTTCCCGTAAGACATTCAAAGTAGTGGAACAATTATGAACATTTTTATATGAAAAGATGTGGGCCATCCAAACTGACCACTTGATTGGGGCAAGTATTACATTTCTATACAAAGCTTAAGAACATGTTAAACATTTGCATATACAAAATGCACAGAAATACCAGAGATTGTGAAACCGTGGCATTCCAGGCATAAACCAATGTTTGTTGCCACACTGGATAGGTGCAGTGAAATGTGTTTTACAGGGTCAGCCATAGTAGTACGGCACCCCTGGAGAAAATTGGGGTTAAGTGCCTTACTCAAGGGCACAGACAGATTCAGTCGGCTCGGGTATTCAAACCAGCAACCTTTCATTTACTGGCCCGACGTGCCAACTGCCGCCCTGTTCAGTCAGGAATCAGATCGTTGTATAATGTGGATAGCTTATAAACACATCCGGACATTTAGATCTGGCAGGTGACTGATAGTCAGCCTGGAATGCAGCCAATGTTGCAGTAGGTCATTTTTAGAGAGCAAGGCAGTTAATGGTGGACTCATCAATCCTGCTTACAAACCCAATTGCAGATTTGAATTTTGTTCGTAAGCAGGAACCACCCCTTGTATGATGTCATTGCTTTATCTATATAATACATCTTTAATTGGCATATTTGTGACTTCAGTAAAAAAAAAAACTTATTGTATGGTAGTATACAAGCAAAAGGGCCTTCACCATTGGTGGCTGATTCAGACAATGGACATTAATCAAAACCACTATCAAGCCAGTGAATCAAGAAGGACATTTAAAATCCACAGATCCTATTGTCAGGACTTCACGGCAGGCTGCCACTATATAGAGGGAATCGCTGGAGCTTTGAAGGTATGGGCTGGACCTGGAGCCAGACTGGGTCTATCTGGGAGGCTGGGTTTGGTGCAGGCTGTGAAGCTGACACGGATGTCTCGGGGGTACAAGCCCTGCAGGACCCCATCCTTGACGATGTCCGGCAGATCTGTTGGAAAAGATTAACTAATTGAAAGTTCAATACTATGGTTGCGTTCTAGGCCGACTAGATTACAGTTGCGCTGCACACATCAAACTGATAATCGACTTGGCAGTCGAATATCAGTTTGCCATATACAGTGGGGGAAAAAAAGTATTTAGTCAGCCACCAATTGTGCAAGTTCTCCCACTTAAAAAGATGAGAGGCCTGTAATTTTCATCATAGGTACACGTCAACTATGACAGACAAATTGAGATTTTTTTTCCTCCAGAAAATCACATTGTAGGATTTTTAATGAATTTATTTGCAAATGATGGTGGAAAATAAGTATTTGGTCACCTACAAACAAGCAAGATTTCTGGCTCTCACAGACCTGTAACTTCTTTAAGAGGCTCCTCTGTCCTCCAGTCGTTACCTGTATTAATGGCACCTGTTTGAACTTGTTATCAGTATAAAAGACACCTGTCCACAACCTCAAACAGTCACACTCCAAACTACACTATGGGCAAGACCAAAGAGCTGTCAAAGGACACCAGAAACAAAATTGTAGACCTGCACCAGGCTGGGAAGACTGAATCTGCAATAGGTAAGCAGCTTGGTTTGAAGAAATCAACTGTGGGAGCAATTACTAGGAAATGGAAGACATACAAGACCACTGATAATCTCCCTAGATCTGGGGCTCCACGCAAGATCTCACCCCGTGGGGTCAAAATGATCACAAGAACGGTGAGCAAAAATCCCAGAACCACACGGGGGGACGTAGTGAATGACCTGCAGAGAGCTGGGACCAAAGCAAAAAAGCCTACCATCAGTAACACACTACGCCGCCAGGGACTCAAATCCTGCAGTGCCAGACATGTCCCCCTGCTTAAGCCAGTACATGTCCAGGCCCGTCTGAAGTTTGCTAGAGTGCATTTGGATGATCCAGAAGAGGATTGGGAGAATGTCATATGGTCAGATGAAACCAAAATAGAACTTTTTGGTAAAAACTCAACTCGTCGTGTTTGGAGGACAAAGAATGCCGAGTTGCATCCAAAGAACACCATACCTACTGTGAAGCATGGGGGTGGAAACATTATGCTTTGGGGCTGTTTTTCTGCAAAGGGACCAGGACGACTGATCCGTGTAAAGGAAAGAATGAATGGGGCCATGTATCGTGAGATTTTGAGTGAAAACCTCCTTCCATCAGCAAGGGCATTGAAGATGAAACGTGGCTGGGTCTTTTAGCATGACAATGATCACAAACACACCGCCCGGGCAACGAAGGAGTGGCTTCGTAAGAAGCATTTCAAGGTCCTGGAGTGTCCTAGCCAGTCTCCAGATCTCAACCCCATAGAAAATCTTTGGAGGGAGTTGAAAGTCTGTGTTGCCCAGCGACAGCCCCAAAACATCACTGCTCTAGAGGAGATCAGCATGGAGGAATGGGCCAAAATACCAGCAACAGTGTGTGAAAACCTTGTGAAGACTTACAGAAAACGTTTGACCTGTGTCATTGCCAACAAAGGGTATATAACAAAGTATTGAGAAACTTTTGTTATTGACCAAATACTTATTTTCCACCATAATTTGCAAATAAATTCATTAAAAATCCTACAATGTGATTTTCTGGATTTTTTCCCCCCTCATTTTGTCTGTCATAGTTGACATGTACCTATGATGAAAATTACAGGCCTCTCATCTTTTTAAGTGGGAGAACTTGCACAATTGGTGGCTGACTAAATACTTTTTTCTCCCACTGTATGTGGGTAGCTGATACCACTTATCCTGGCAGGCGACTGCAATGTTCACTATGTGGCCAAAAGCATGTATGTGGACACCCCTTCAAATGAGTGGATTCAGCTATTTCAGCCACACCCGTTGCTGACAGGTGTATAAAATCGAGCACACAGCCATGCAATCTCCATAGACAAACATTGGTTGTAGAATCAACTGCACTGAAGAGTTCAGTGACTTTCAACGTGGCACCGTCATAGGTCCAACAAGTCAGTTTGTAAAATTTCTGCCCTGCTAGAGCTGCCCCGGTCAACTAAGTGCTGTTATTGCGAAATGGAAACGTCTAGGAGCAACTGCTCACCTGCAAAGTGGTAGGCCACACAAGCACATAGAACGGGACAGCCGAGTGCTGAAGCGCGTCGGATGGAGTGGTGTAAAGCTCGCCGCCATTGGACTATGGAGCAGTGGAAACGTGTTCTCTGGAGTGATGAATCACTTCACCATCTGGCAGTCCGACTGACAAATCTGGGCTTGGCGGATGGCAGCAGAACGCTACCTGCACGAATGCATAGTGCCAACTGTAAAGTTTTTTGGCGGAGGAATAATGGTCTGGGGCTGTTTTTCATGGGTCGGGCTAGGCCCCTTAGTTACAGTGAAGGGAAATCTTAACGCCACAGCACACAATGACATTATAGACGATTCTGTGCTTCCAACTTTGTGGCAACAGTTTGGGGAAGGCCCTTTCCTGTTTAAGCATGACAATGCCCCCGTGCACAAAGCAAGGTCCATACAAAACTGGTTTTGTCGAGATCGGTTTGGAAGAACTTGACTGGCCTGCACAGAGCCCTATCCTCAACCCCATCGGACACCTTTGGGATGAATTGGAATGCCGACTGCGAGCCAGACCTACTTGCCCAACATCAGTGCCCGACCTCACTAATGCTCTTGTGGCCGAATGGAAGCAAGTCCCCGCAGCAATGTTCCAACATCTAGTGGAAAGCCTTCCCAGAAGAGTGGAGGCTGTTATAGCAGCAAGAGGGGGGACCAACTCCAAATTAATGCCCACAATTTTGGAATGAGATGTTAGATTTGATCTGGAACATGACTCAAATGTAAACAGAAAAAATAAAGCACAGGCCATTTAGCTGAGAAAGCTTTCAGCAAGCTCTTTAAAAAGGAGACCATCCTGAGGAAACATTAACAATGAGCTGGATGTGACTGGCAAGGATGGTAGAAAGTGTGGTGATCTCAAAATGAGGAGATAGGCTCAAAGCCAAGGGTGGGCAGTTAGTTCTAAATATCCAGTATAGGTCCATTATCATTTCTACTTACTTTCTACCTAATTTTAGACACTCAAGTGTAGCCCCCCCCACTTAAATCGTCTGGGTGGTCTAAGCCATCTCCAACCACCATACAACAATGCGGAGGCCTGCCGTACCTGAGGGGGACTCCAGGAGATAGGGGTCACGACAGAATCCCACCACACGCTGATGCTGCAGCTGACAGCTAAGGGACAAGAGACCACTGGGTGAGTAGAAGAACTGAACGAGTAAAATGTACAGTGGGGAGAACAAGTATTTGATACACTGCCGATTTTGCAGGTTTTCCTACTTACAAAGCATGTAGAGGTCTGTAATTTTTATCATAGGTACACTTCAACTGTGAGAGACGGAATCTAAAACAAAAATCCAGAAAATCACATTGTATGATTTTTAAGTAATTCATTTGCATTTTATTGCATGACATAAGTATTTGATACATCAGAAAAGCAGAACTTAATATTTGGTACAGAAACCTTTGTTTGCAATTACAGAGATCATACGTTTCCTGTAGTTCTTGACCAGGTTTGCACACACTGCAGCAGGGATTTTGCCCCACTCCTCCATACAGACCTTCTCCAGATCCTTCAGGTTTTGGGGCTGTCGCTGGGCAATACGGACTTTCAGCTCCCTCGAAAGATGTTCTATTGGGTTTAGGTCTGGAGACTGGCTAGGCCACTCCAGGACCTTGAGATGCTTCTTACGGAGCCACTCCTTAGTTGCCCTGGCTGTGTGTTGCCCCATCCATCCTCCCCTCAATACGGTGCAGTCGTCCTGCCCCTTTGCAGAAAAGCATCCCCAAAGAATGATGTTTCCACCTCCATGCTTCACGGTTGGGATGGTGTTCTTGGGGTTGTACTCATCCTTCTTCTAATTCCAAACACGGCGAGTGGAGTAGTTCTGGGCTGATCCCTCACCTTCCTCATGATCATTGATGCCCCACGAGGTGAGATCTTGCATGGAGCCCCAGACCGAGTGTGATTGACCGTCATCTTGAACTTCTTCCATTTTCTAATAATTGAGCCAACAGTTGTTGCCTTCTCACCAAGCTGCTTGCCTATTGTCCTGTAGCCCATCCCAGCCTTGTGCAGGTCTACAATTTTATCCCTGATGTCCTTACACAGCTCTCTGGTCTTGGCCATTGTAGAGAGGTTGGACAGGTGTCTTTTATACAGGTAACGAGTTCAAACAGGTGCAGTTAATACAGGTAATGAGTGGAGAACAGGAGGGCTTCTTAAATAAAAACTAAACAGGTCTGTGAGAGCCAGAATTCTTACTGGTTGGTAGGTGATCAAATACTTATGTCATGCAATAAAATGCAAATTAATTATTTAAAAAATCATACAATGTGATTTTCGGGATTTTTGTTTTAGATTCCATCTCTCACAGTTGAAGTGTACCTATGATAAAAATAACAGACCTGTACATGCTTTGTAAGTAGGAAAACCTGCAAAATCGGCAGTGTATCAAATACTTGTTCTCCCCAGTGTATGTTGCTACAATATAAATGTGTGCATTGCAATTTGGAGCATAACATTGGCAGATTTCAGCATTCCATGTTGAGATTATACTTTGCTTACGCAGAAATGTAATTTGTATCTTTCTGTATGACATTTACACTTGCCCTCTGCTCTGCATGCCCAAACCCTCATAAGCCAGACGATCCACATATTGGTTAAATGCCAACACCAGGACAACTGACTCAACAAATCAAGGCCAAGTAGAATCAGGTGTGCTAGTCTTAGAATATATAAAATAATTGAACTTCAGAGGGTCCCGAGCCGAGCATAGACCAGAGGACCGGTTCGGAAACCAAAGTACAGGTTTTAAGTACTGTATGGCAGACAGGCAGAATACACATGGCTGTTCACAAGATAAAAGGGAAGCTCACCCATATCCCTGAGGGTCACTATCATCAAATGATCTGAAATTATGAGGAAACCATCGTTTTTTTATTACAGCCTATTATTTTCCCATATTAAACAATATTCACAGAGTATACCAAACATTAGGAACACCTTCCTAATATTGAGTTGCACCCCCTACTCTACAAGATGTCAAAAGCGTTCCACAGGGATGCTGGCCCATGTTGTCTCCAATGCTTCCCACAGTTGTCAAGTTGGCTGGATGTCCTTTGGGTGGTGGACCATTCTTGATACACACAGGAAACTGTTGAGTGTGAAAAACCTGGCAGGGTTGCAGTTCTTGACACAAACCGGTGCGCCTGGCACCTACTACCATACCCCGTTCAAAGGCACTTAAATATTTTGTCTTGCCTATTCACCCTCTGAATGGCACACATAATCTGTGTCTCAATTGTCTGAAGGCTTAAAATATCCTTCTTTAACCTGTCTCCTCCCCTTCATCTACACTGATTGAAGTGGAGTTAACAAGTGACATCAATAAGGGATCATAGCTTTCACCTGGTCAGTCTGTCATGGAAAGAGCAGGTGTTCTTAATGTTTTGTATACTCAGTGTACATTCAAGAGGATCTCTACATTTTCAATTGTTAAACACTGCAGCATATAAAGGTAGTTGTACGGTGCCTTCAGAAAGTATTCATACCCCTTGAAGTTTTCCACTTTGTTGTGTTACAACCTGGGATTAAAATGGATCTAATTGTCAATTTTTTGTCACCCACAAACAAAATACTCTGTCAAAGTGAAAGACAAATTGTAACATTAAATTAAAAAAAAAGGATCTGGAAAATAAAACGCTAATATATCTTGATTAGGTAAGTATTCAGCCTCCTGAGTCAATACAAGTTAGAATCTTTCTGGGTAAGTCTCTAAGAGCTTTGCACACCTGGATTGTACAATATTTGCCCATTATTCTTTTCAAAATTCTTTAAGCTCTGTCAAGTTGGTTGTTGATCCTTGCTAGACAGCCATGTTCAAGTCTTGCCCTAGATTTTCAAGCCAATTTAAGTCAAAATTGTATCTGGGCCACTCAGGAACATTCAATGTCATCTTAGTAAGCAACTCCAGTGTATATTTGGCCTTGTGTTTTAAGTAATTGTCCTGCTGAAAGGTGAATTTGTCTCCCAGTGTCTGTTGGAAAGCAGACAAACAATTTTCTCTAGGATTTTGCCTGTGCTCAGCTCTATTACTGTTTATTTTCATCCTAAAAAACTCCCTAGTCCTTGCCGATGACAAGCGTACACATAATATGATGCAGACACCACCATGCTTGAAAATATGAAGAGTGGTACTCAGTGATGTGTTGTGTTTTCCCCCAAACATTGTATTCAGGACAAAACGTTTATTTTTTTGCCACATTGTTTGCAGTATTACTTTAGTGCCTAATTGCAAACAGGATGCATGTTTTGGAATATTTTTGATTCTGTACAGGCCGCCTCCTTTTCACTGTTTCAATTAGGTTAGTATTGGGGAGTAACTACAATGTTGTTGATCCATCCTCAGTTTTCTCCTATCACAGCCATTAAACTAACTGTTTTAAAGTCACCATTGGCCAGATGGGGAAATCTCTGAGCGGTTTCCTTCCTCTCCGGCAACTGAGTTAGGAAGGACACGTGTATCTTTGTATTGATACACAATCCAAAGTGTAATTAATAACTTCACCATGCTCAAAAGGGATATTCAATAGGTGCCCTTCTTTGCGAACCATTGGAAAACCTCCCTGGTCTTTGTGGTTGAATCTGTGTTTGAAATTCACTGCTCGACGAGGGACCTTACAGATAACTGTATGTGTGGGGTACAGAAATGGCGTAGTCATTTAAAAATCATGTTAAACACTATTATTGCACACAGAGTGAGTCCATGCAACCTGTGACTTGTTAAGCACAATTTTGCTCCTGAACTTATTTAGGCTTGCCATAACAAAATAGTTGAATACTTATTAACTCATTTTTAATTACATTTGTAAACATTTCTAAAAACATAATTCCATTTTGACATTATGGGGTATAGTGTGTATATCAGTGACACACAATCTCATTTGAAAAAAGTCAAGGGGTGTGAATACTTTGAAGGCACTGTATACCTCAGATATCATAAAATCTTGACTGACACATCGGATTCTCCATTCCTAGCCACACATGTCATATTCAATATACCTTTTGCTGTCTTTATAACTTTATTGAAGTGAACCTGATGTGAGTAGCTGGTTGAGGTGAGGGGGCAGGTACATACTCAAGGCTGCTGATTTTGTTCCCAGAGTGGAAATGTTTCACATGCAGGAAGTCCAGCAGCACCTGAGGGACTTCTTCATACTGGTAGATGATATCCTACAGAGAGAGAGAGAGGCCAGTAGAAAAGACAAAGAAAATGGTTTTGTTCACACACAGTCTAAATTGGATTAGTCACTTATTGTAAAATTCAACTATACGGAACATAATCCCTCAGTCATACCTAAATAATGTATGTCAATTCATACCTGAATATAGTTTCAAGTCCTAATATGGCACGTAAAATATATTCATTAATTATTTTTCATACGTAAATATTACACTTGAATGTGGTAACTGAACATGGTATGTAATTAATATATGTAGTCCTAACTGAATAAAGTAAATACGGTAACACTTTACTTGACACCCAGCGTCATAACACAGTCATAACCATGTCATAATGTCATAATGTCATCATGACATCTATTTAGACCAGTTGTGACATTTATTGCATTATTTTATGACTGGTTATGACACCTACATAAGAGTCTCAAAACCCTGCCACACAAGGCAAAACATTCCATTACACCATAGCCTACTTGTTAACAGTATGTTTATGTTCTATAAAATGTTCTGAAATTGACCATATTAAATTATCATTGTAATTGAACACTTCAGGAGCAGGACAAGACACCCTATTTTTGACTGATGACTGACAAGGGCATGTACGTGATAGGCCCATCTGGCTTATATGATTTTGATGGTCATAATGCTTCTTGACAGGGTCAAAGTGTATTTTCTGCAAGTTATTTAAATTATGATGAAAAAAAACATGACTGTAAACAGAATTAATTACAACAATGGACTTAACAAACAAATTTTCAAACGAAAGGAAACTTCTTGGCTGGGAAAAAACACATTTGAATAAATGTGGGTTTTGACAATCTTATGTAGGTGTCATAACCAGCCATAAAATAACGCAATATATGTCACAACAGGTGTAAATAAACTCAGCAAAAAAAGAAATGTCCCTTTTTCAGGCCCTGTCTTTCAAAGATAATTCGTAAAAATCCAAATAATCTTCATTGTAAAGGGTTTAAACACCGTTTCCCATGCTTGTTCAATGAACCATAAACAATTAAATGAACATGCACCTGTGGAACGGTCGTTAAGATACTAACAGCTTACAGACGGTAGGCAATTAAGGTCACAGTTATGAAAACTTAGGACACTAAAGACGCCTTTCTACGGACTCTGAAAAACACCAAAAGAAAGATGCACAGGGTCCCTACTTATCTGTGTGAACGTGCCTTAGGCATGCTGCAAGGAGGCATGAGGACTGCAGATGTGGCCAGGGCAATAAATTGCTATGTCCGTACTGTGAGACGCCTAAGACAGCGCTACAGGGAGACAGGACGGGCAGCTGATCGTCCTCGCAGTGGCAGACCACGTGTAACAACACCTGCACAGGATCGGTACATCCGAACATCACACTTGCGGGAAGGTACAGGATGGCAACAACAACTGCCTGAGTTAAAACAGGAATGCACAATCCCTCCATCAGTGCTCAGACTGTCCGCAATAGGCTGAGAGAGGCTGGACTGAGGGCTTGTAGGCCTGTTGTAAGGCAGGTCCTTACCAGACATCACCGGCAACAACGTCGCCTATGGGCACAAACCCACCGTCACTGGACCAGACAGGACTGGCAAAAAGTGCTCTTCACTGACGAGTCGCGGTTTTGTCTTACCAGGGGTGATGGTCGGATTTGCGTTTATCATCCAAGGAATGGAGGTGGAGGGTCCGTCAGTCTGGGGCGGTGTGTCACAGCATCATCAGACTGAGCTTGTTGTCATTGCAGGCAATCTCAACGCTGTGCGTTACAGGGAAGACATCCTCCTCCCTCATGTGGTACCCTTCCTGCAGGCTCATCCTGACATGACCCTCCAGCATGACAATGCTACCAGCCATACTGCTCGTTCTGTGCGTGATTTCCTGCAAGACAGGAATGTCAGTGTTCTGCCATGGCCAGCGAAGAGCCCGGATCTCAATCCCATTGAGCACGTCTGGGACCTGTTGGATCGGAGGGTTAGGGCTAAGGCCATTCCCCCCAGAAATGTCCGGGAACTTGCAGGTGCCTTGGTGGAAGAGTGGGGTAACATCTCACAGCAAGAACTGGCAAATCTGGTGCAGTCCATGAGGAGGAGATGCACTGCAGTACTTAATGCAGCAGCTGGTGGCCACACCAGATACTGACTGTTACTTTTGATTTTGACCCCCTCTTTGTTCAGGGACACATTATTCCATTTCTGTTAGTCACATGTCTGTGGAACTTGTTCAGTTTATGTCTGTTGTTGAATCTTGTTATGTTCATACAAATATTTACACATGTTAAGTTTGCTGAAAATAAACGCAGTTGACAGTGAGAGGACATTTCTTTTTCTGCTGAGTTTATAATGGGCCATGACAGTGTTATGACCATATTATGACCGGTTATGACATTATGACATGGTTATGACCGTTTCATAATGTATTATGATGCTGGTGTCAAATGTTACCGTAAATACATATATTCTACCTGAATGTAGTCCTCCAGCTGTTGCCTCCTCTGCTCAAGAGGCTTGGTTCTCAGATGGGTGCTCCTCTTGCTGGGGAAGTCTGGGGGCTGCAGAATCTTCTTCAGCTATGGAGGCAGGAAGAAACTGTCAAAGACATTACAGGGATGGGCCGCAATGGGTTAATGTCCATCATGCATACAACAACCAAGCAATTGCATTGCGACCATCATTTGTATCTTTGAAGCAGAGAAATGTAAGTATATTTGTAGAGCAGTTAGCCATTGGTTTGTACGGCAACAGAGTCGAGTATACTGTGTACAAAATGGGTTTTAGATCATTCAGATACTGTCGATTCTGGTGTCAAGTAAGGGAGGCAGAGAGTCAGCAATTGTTTTACCTTTCTGTGGAGGGTCTGGAATTCACTGTGTCTTCTGAGCACAAAGTGTTTCCTTCCATTGAACAATATCTCAACTCTGAAGAGCTAGAAAATAAAAAAAAAGAGCAGAGCAGAGAGGAGTTTTGCGTTATTACACTGGTTTTCTGGAAAGGAATATCAGTAGAATTATGTTTGCTTGTGATCGGACAGATAGGACAGTAACATTTATGTACAAAAGGTAAGTCTTTCCATTCACATACGAGTTTGCCTTTCTAAAGGTAGTTCTACAAACGAGATGGGACTTGATGTTCTCCAATCATGCCTGACAGTTTAGTGTCCAGTGTAATGTAGTCAGATATCCAGCAGGGGGAAGAAAGAGGCCTGTTTACAGAGCTCAGCAATCTAAACACAACAGTGCCCACTGGTGGCCAGAAAACGAATCCTATCAAACTTTGGGGACCGTCCCAATATCTCCTTTCTCCTGAAGTGTGGACTCGTTCACACAAATCTAAAAGCATTGGATTGGTGTGGGAATAAGCTGGTGGGAGTTTCCACCATATATCGTATACCAGTCATTTCCTTTCAAAATCAGTGAAGGGAAGTGAACAAATGCAGACTTTGGGATGCAGGAGAGATAATTGGGACATACCCCAGGAGCGCATGCCTAGGCCTGACCAGTCAACAGACAGGGCAAACAACTAGACATATCCCCTTGGAGACCATATACACCAGGGATGAGGTTGCTTTGTGGTCAACAGAATGAGAACATCGCCATTTAAAACGGTGCAATGTGCAGAAATCGCGTTGCCATTTCCTGGTTGCTAAAATTCTAATAGTTCGCCTAATTTAAGTTTATGTGGCAAAACACGCAAAGTGTAGTGTAGAGAATCACACAAGAAAAGCAAAACAATATCCCCTAGAATGACCATAACCCTAGGTAAAGGACTACCTGTGGGAATGTTATTTCTTAAATACATTATATAACTTCCTGAAAGTGATGAAATGTAGGCTACACTGCACTTCCTAACCAATCAGTGACAATTAATTTGGAGGATAGATAACTGGCAGAATGCAGCCAAAGGACAGGAGTTGCTCATCCTACAGTATTGTTTTTATAACCCAAGTGCACTGTCCACATTTTTTATGCTTGGAAAATAGTACTGATAGTACACGAATTATTGTAGGCTGCTTGCTTGTACATTACAACAAATCAAACAAGGGCAGTAATGAAATGCTTCCTTTTCCAGTGAAGCTCCAGTGTGTGCCATGGTAGTTAATAAGCAGGCTTATTTGGATGAATGGCAACGCTGCCGGCTGTATAGGCGTGGCAGCTAGCTGATATTCATCTGGACAAAGACAAATGAGAATACACCCGTCACCCAGAACTGAGGTTAATGACAACTACAAAAGTGGACATCCTTTAGTCTTCCCCCCTTTCTAAAATAAAGAAAACAGGGATATCTTCTCCAAATTGGTCTGAAACCAAGTTAACCAATAATACAAAAATGGCCACTGACATAAAGAGTGGGAAAGACTTTCAAAAATATGAATGAGGGACTCTGTCTAAACATGACAAGTATGGTGACCAAAATGCTAGCCTACATTTCCAGCAAGCTATTATCTAAATATTCCTTTGAAGTTGTTGACTTAAGTTTGGAGCTTCAGGACATGCTGTTTGGAATCCAGTATTCAGGGTCCTGTTCCCGTTTCTTATGTATAGTGCCTAATGAACATGACCCAGAACAGAGAGTCATCCTGACACAGGGATTAGCCGAGTCATGCAGTTGATCCACACTTTTTTTTTTGTCAGGCCCTCACATTAAATATAGCTGACTGGCTACATTCAGGTTATAATTAAAGGCCCATGCCCCCCTTTCCACCTAAACTCATCTATCATGGGTTGATCCAGAGTGATTGCTACAAGGACGATTTTGCAACCCTATAACTGCATTAAAGCTATCTTTTAAATCTATGAACTAGTCTATAACCATCCAACACAAAAACCTGTACATTAAAGAGTTTGCCTTTTTCATACTTTTTGGTATTTATTCTTGACCTAAAAATAAATCTGGTCCTTAATTCTTCGCAACTGGCTGAGCACTTTCTCTTTTACTTCGAAAGAGTGCTGACCCTAAATCAGCAGAAACTACAGCGGTCAGCCTAGTACAGTACTTAACTCCTCTCTCTAAGCAAACAGTAATTTTGACTGTCTGTAGCTGTGTAGCCTGGTCCCAGATCTGTGTCTGTGCTGTCTTGCCAAGTGCCAACTCTGGCAAGACAGCACAGACCGATCTGGGACCAGGCTAGCTGTTCAAAGAAGGCACATGGCCTCCATATTCCTGGGTTGCCCGGGCGACTCACGACCCAGTGGGCCGATGGGGCTGGAGCCATGTCATCACATGCCAATGACGGTCCGAAACAGATGGCCCTCAATCCATGGATGAATGAGCTCTCAGAGCAGGAGGGCTGTGGCCATTATCCAGGCAGCAACTGGATCTAATATGGATCCTCATGAGCAGAATAATCATACATCCTATATCTTGACTAATTATCATATTGTTAAAATCACCTGAGTAGTCATGTGATCAACTCGGACAAGTTATTTTCCAGCGTTTTCTGGTGAAGTATTGTTAACTTGTGCTAAGAGTTACCATACTCTGCAATCAGTGCCCACTGCCCAGAGTATACATTTGAGATGTTACAAGATTACTAATAAACATTTATTGTTTACATAATACAAGATGATTACCCTGACGATACAGACTTTTGACCATCATCACCTGAACTGTTATTAATGGTTATTTAGTGACAAAGATATGTGACTGACCATGCGCTTTAAAGTAACCAATTCCTCTCATTGACACACAAATCTCCCTTTCATGAAGTTTCTGTTCTTCCCGCTATGGCGGAACTCACTGGATTAGTCAGTTCCACAAAGTCAAGTATCACAATGAACAACAAGTACCTGCTTCTACTCAATGTTCAGCCTGCTTCACTAACCCGGTAGAGGTCAGTCTCAACCCCAGAGCCCATTTCATATGAAATAACTCCCCGGCCTACGCACGCACACCTTGTGCTTCTTCATTCGTTTACCAAATTACTGTTCAGGACAAGAAGCATGTAATTTCATTGATTGAGTTACATCTGCCCAAAAAGGAACTTCCTGTCAAAGAAAAGAGTCTCTGTATGCTCACTCGAGACTGGTAAACAAGTTAAAAAACAGCACATCCATTTTTTATGCTTTAACTAATTAATTTCAGGTAACAAAATGTCACTTTATGTTCCCCCTTGCAATTATATATGTCTACAGATTAGCTGATGGGACATTCACTTAATCCATGGGGATGTATGAGAGTACAGAGATTGTCATTAGTTCATGAGATATACTTAATTTGTCCATATCGGGTCTCTGTTGTTGAAGCCATACAGCCGGTTTACAGACAGAACTCCGGCCATCCTCTCTTTCTCGCCATTCTTTCAATGGTCATCCTTCCATCACAGAGCTTTCATTGTTGTGGGTTTGCAGAGAGGGCTAGATATTTCTGCCTGCAAACCCCTGGCACATAGAGGGGCCCGATGCGCCCTCCTTACATAACACAGCAGAAGGCTCAGAGGGGAACATGCTGCACCCTAAATCAGACAGTTCACAGACAAGCAAGACAATCTAATACCCTTTTCACACTACTCAGCCCGAGCTCAGCCAAGGTTTGCTGAACTGGCCTGGATACGCATGCACCATAGTAGCTTGAACCCTGTTTGAAAGGGCAATGTACTCTATGTGCATAGAAAATATCCAAGCCAGCACAGTATAGTTTGGGTCAGCATGTTGGCGTGAAAGGGATATGATTGGACCACTTCATGAACCCCACTCTATTTCAAGAAATGACTAATTGACTAAGCCCCTCTGCTTATTTAAAAGCGGACTAGCTCAGGGTCAGCTCAGCTCACTTTTAGCTACCCAAGCAGTACTAGTCTCATGCTGGAAAAGAGTAGACAATGTGAAAAGAAAATATCCAAGCCTGCACAGAGAGTACAGTTCGGGTTGGCACAATAGTGTGAAAAGAGTATTGGCCGCCTTACACACACACACATACCAAAAGCTCATGAGTGACTCCATGAAGCAGAATTACGTGTCTGTCAAAAATGACTTCAGTCTTATTTTTGTTGATCATGGAGGCAGGCAATTTAGTAATCCTGTTAAGACTACAGCTGCTGTGGGATGCGTAACGTGAGCCCATATTTCAACTGGGTCATGGGTTTGATTCCAGCCGGGGCCACCAATAAGGAAATGTATACAATTACGGTTGTAAATCGCTTTGGATAAAAGTATCTGCTAAATGGCATACAATGAGTATACAAAACATTAAGAACACCTTCCTAATTTTGAGTAGCACCCCCCACTTTTGCCCTCAGAACAGCCTCAATTCGTCGGGCCATGGACTCTACAAGGTGTCGAAAGATTTCCACAAGGATATTGGCCCATGTTGACTCCAATGCTTCCCACAGTTGTATGAAGTTGGCTGGATGTCCTTTGGGTGGTGGACCATTCTTAATACACACGGGAAACTGTGGAGTGTGAAAAACCCAGTAGAATTGCAGTTCTTGACACAAGCCGGTGCACCTGGAACCTACAACTATACCCCATTCAAAGGCACTTACACCTTTTCTCTTGCCCATTCACCCTCTGAATGGCACACACACAATCCATGTTTCATTTGTCTCAAGGCTTAAAAATCCTTCTTTAACCCATCTCCTTCCCTTCAGCTACACTGATTGAAGTGGATTTAACAAGTGACATCAATAAGGGTTCATAGCTTTCACCTGGATTCACCTGGTCCATCTATTTCATGGAAAGAGCAGGTGTTCATAATGTTTTGTACACTTGGCTACATATAACATGACTGAATTTACTGGCTCAAAGTTCAGACTTGGGCAAAGTGTTTCTTTTTGTTAGTTTTTTTGTTTTTACAGTGACATTAGATATTTTCACATCAGATCTTTTTCAGAAAAAAAGACCAGAATTGTGCTGCCTGTGTAGACTCAACCTAACAAGCAGACAGCTCTCAACCAAAACCGGTGGTAAATTACTTCAGACATTGGGTGTTTTCACTGTAAAAAACTAAAACTTTTTTGCCCAAGTCTCTGAACTTGTAAATTCAGTCATATTCAGTCATGTTATATGTATCCTATATATGCCATTTAGCGGATGCTTTCATCCAAAGCGATCAGAATTGGGCTGCCTGTGTAAATGCAGACAAAAAGTGCACTCAAGTCCCCAGTGCTAGGTAGGTGCAAGAAGTGGTGTCAACACCAACTTTTCTTCTAGCAAACATTCATTCCAGCAGCTAGGTGTAGCCAGTCGTGTAAAGTAACTAAGTACAAATACTTTGAAGTACTATTTAAGTTTTTTGGGTATCTGTACTTTAATATTCATATTTTTTACTCCATTACATTCCTAAAGAAAATATGTACTTTTTACTCCCATACATTTTTCCCTGACACCTAAAAGTACCAGTTACATTTTGAATGCTTAGCAGGACAGGAACATGGTCAAATTTACACGCGTATCAAGAGACCACGTGGTCATCCCTACTTCCTCTGACATGCTGAGCAAATCCCGCCCGCGTTGCAAAAATACATTTCCACATACATGTTATTCAATCTTTTCATCCAAACTGCTCGCGGGTGTCTGCGTAGCCAGGCTCTAAAATAGAATGTGGTTCTATTTTAGCCGCTTGATGCGCTGCAATTCCCGCCTCTCCCACCCACGCGGGTGATTGAAAGATGAACGAGGTCCACACTCTAGTCGGTGGCGGTTATGCACCTTAAAGTTGGTTGCCAACCGCCATAAAACATCCACAGAAGAAGAACAAACGAGGAGAGATTAATCAAGGAAAACTAAAAACTAACTAGTTTTCCCTTTTTATCTGTGGATTAATTGTCGGTGTAGAGAACACACGATTGTGTGTGACTCAAAATTCTACAAAGTTCCAGCAAAAAAAAGGACCATATGAATTTCAGGTCAAATTGTTTATCTCCCAGGACAAATTAACGAGCAATAGCAAGCTAGCTAAATGTCAGTGAATGTTTCACTTGTGTTTAGACATTAATTAATATAGTTGCTTCACAGTTGGTTCTGGTATTTTAACTTGCGTGTCATGAAAGCGTCTGGTGGGGACAGACAAAATCAACATACACACAATGCCTTAATGGTGCACGACCGGAGCCGGTTTCGTCAGCATGTGTTCTGGCGGACTCACTAAACACATTCTTTGTTTGTAAATTGTGTTGGCGTGTGCCCCTGGCAATCCGTAATTTCAAAAACAAAAGCATGCTGTCTTGTAGTATTTTACTGGGTGACTTTCACTTGAGTCGTTTTCTATTAAGGCATCTTTACTCAAGTATGATAATTGTGTAGTTTTTCCACCACTGGGTGTAGCCTCTGTGTATGGCAACTGTCCTCTAAGAAAGATTGGGTGCTTGGCTTCCTTTTGTTTGGCCTGCAAACTGCAATACTTCTGTTTTTATGTGTCTTTTTCAAATCAGGCTCAGGGCTTTCACATAATATATTTTAAGGGAAAATGGGAGAATGCAGCCACAGACAAAACTGAAGTTTTTCACAATTCTGTGATACAGGACACACAAGGGCACCAACGATTCACAAAATTATAGAAATTATAATATAGGCTATATAAATCTATGGAATAGGTGCCCTTCTAGCTCGCCTGGCGCAAAGGGATAGCGCGGCAGCCGGCACGAATGGCAAATCAGGACCAGTGGAATAGCCACGCATTAAATCGAGCGCACCTATTCAAGCTGTAGAAAAAAAGAAAGAAAAAAAGCTTATTTGTCCAACAAAATGTGCATGACAAGTTGCGGGAAAACATAAGAGATGCCTTAAAATAAGTATTGAACCTTACTGTACCACACACATCCAGATACTTAAAAAAAAAAGCCTACAACAGTTTACCTTTCTCAATTTCCCCGACTCGTCTACCTCTCGCTCCAGCGACGGGATCGATACCTCAATCATAGGGGAATCTTGAACCATCATCGGACTTTTCTGAGCGCAAACTGTCCAATTACCTTCGTACTGAGTGGTGCTGCGGCTTTTCTGTCTTCAATCTTTGTCAATGTCCCCTTCTAAACATTCGAGAAGATTCTCGCAAGAGAAAATAAAACGATAATGGTCCAATATAAACTCGGCTACCGTAAATTCAGGGAAACGTTTGACCCTTCAATGCTCCTCCCACAAACTAATTGGAGACTCTGTGCAACCCATTTGGGCGCAATGCACTTCTGAAATGCCATACGAATTTTTATATATATATATATATATATATATATATATATATATATCCATGTGTTGATTCAAATGTTTCGTGTTACACGGGACATTAATGCAATAGCCATAATGCAAAACAACATTATTTTACATGATGTGTGTGGAATAACTGGTTTGACAGATTACATGGCTTCATCTCTTGTTGAGGTAGGGCTATTCTGCGTTCTGCATTTGTAGAAAGACAATGAAAGCTTCGGACTATAAGGTTCTATTTGGCATAAAAATAAATACAAATGAGTTGATCACATAATTTATGTTTAGCTGGTTCTTCATCTGTCTGTGAAGTTAGATTTTTCAAAAAGTAAATGAAGTGACATCTTTTGAAACCATAAAGTTATATCTGTATAAACCCATTTGAACATGGCACTATAAGGTTCTATCTGCAATCCAATCACCAGCCTGAACAAATACAGACGGACCAATCAGAATATGTCTTTGCCATCTCCCTCTAAGGGCCAATAGAGTACCACAGTATGAGTCATAATACCCATAAAACCTAGCGGTCAAACAAGGAAATGGTTCCAATAGTTTTTCCACCATTCATTTTTCCCATAGGGGATTTTAGAAACACTTAAAATAAGGGCTGTGTTTTGTGTAGGCTTACCCTGGCATGACGTTTTGATAACCATGTAAATCTCTCTAGGACAAGGTGACTTGTATTAATATATTCGCCTGTATTTACCCCCCCCCCCCCCCCCCCAATAATACAAATAAATAAAATAATTAGCTGCTAAATTGGCTATCATAAATAACTAAAAATGCCATGATGATCTGGACGAGACTGCCGAATCGAGGCAAAGGTAATAATCTCTGGATTAACTATCTAATGTTAGCTAAATGTAGTAATGAATAAAATGGCTGCATTTCTTTAAATGGACAATTCTGTGAACTCTCTTGTGCAAGTTTTTTAAATTGACACAATACCTGTTAGCATAGGTGTCAGCTAGAGATGACATGCAGGAGCTTGCAGGGATTTGTAGTCTTGCATGATGTCTACTTTGATGCTAATTAGCATTTTCAAATCTGAGCGTAAATAGAGCAGAATATATTGATAAATCACCTTGTCCAAGAGAGATTTACACGGTTAGCAAAATGTCGTGCCAGGGTAAGCCTACACGAAACACAGCCATTATTGTGTTTCTAAAATTCTCTAAGGGAAAAATTAACGATTGGAACAATTTCCGTTTGTCCGCTAGGTTTTATGGGTATTATGACACCTCCACTGTGGGGCTCTATGGTCTAGGCTAGTCTGTCATCACTAGATGCCACAAAGTCATAAACCCTGCCTATTTCTACAATTTTTCTTCTTAAAGATGCACTATGCAGAAATCGCTCTGCCATTTCCTGGTTGCTAAAATTCGAATAGTTCACCTCGTTTCAGTTTGTGACAAAACAAGGAAGTATAGTGTAGAGAATCATTTTACCATCTAAACGGCTGTGAAATGTCTTTTCCATAACCCAAAAATATTGTATTTTCAGCTGTTTGAAGCTGGTGTAAAAAAAAACGAAAGTAAAAAATGCAAAAACAAAACGGGAAGAACGGGAAGCATAGAAATAGCGCACATAGAACAGATCTACCTCTTCTTAGACTTGCGTTCAATGCGAATGACAGATCTATAACACACATTTGTGAATTTGGTTGCCCAAAAAGTTACATATTGCAGCTTTAAATTGTGATTTTAAACCTAACCTTAACCACACTGAACCTTATGCCTAACCCTAATCTTACATTTTTTATTTTCGTGAATTTCTACAATACAGCCAATGTTGACTTTGTGGATGTGGTAACTAGTGGAAATCCCTAGTCTAGGCAGCAATAAAGGCAAGTAAAAAAAACAACACTGTCAAAAATCTTAAAGTATATGATGTTGGATCGTTGTTCAGTGATGACAGTAATTAGTCTTAATTTATATTGGTAAAAGTGTTATTCTATCATTTATATATTCAAATAGCTACAGTTTTCTTAACGGAACATGTCTAATTCCGAAGTGTCAGAACCTTATGGCTGAACCCAGATTGACATTTCAGAGCCATGAGGTTCTATCTGCGATTGCCCCCCCTGGAATTTACAAATGTCTCAGGATTTTGATACTCTGCACTTTAGGTACCTTTTAAGACCTTAATAGGTTTTAAAGAAAAATTCACTACAAAACAGTTCTGAGATCTGAAAACTTTTATGCTCAATATCTCTGAACTATATTGCACAGATATCGTCCCAAGGTTACTTCATAGGCTACACACACACCAATAAAAATCAGTTTCACTTCCTAATGTGAAACAATGTACTTTGATCTCATTATTGAGGATTGTGGAAATAAAAAATAATCCCACTTGCCAAACATGGTTACCTGACCAAACACGAATTTGCATGTTTACACAAGTCCAATGACATTATTTTCTTTCTATAGAAAATGATAAATGAGAATCACATGGTGTGTCATGATATCCTGTGACTTCCTCATTCATGGATTTCTCTGCTGACTTGGGCTGATTCAATCCAAGCAAGAAATAATGCTCACATAAGCAACTCTGAGGAACAGGGCATTGTGCTGCGCTATACACTTGGTTAACCAGGAAAAAACAGAAGGCTAGAGTATTGCAGGAACAAAGATAACATTAGCCGTACGCGCACACACACACTGCCGTAGAAGTCACAGCATCAGCAAACTAAAAGACCAGCACAAAAGGAAAGTTAGTCTCAGCTATGTGGCCATTGGCCATGTGTATAATGGACAATCTGATCTGTTTGGAGCCTCCACACACACACACACACACACACACACACACACACACACACACACACACACACACACACACACACACACAGATAATAATAAACATTTATAAAAGGCTTTCTTTCACCAGAGTTCCTACAAAAGGTATGTCCTTGAGGTGAGTGGCTGTAAAAATAAAATGAAGTTAAAGATAAACAAGGCAAGGTTCCCGTAAAAAGATTTACAGTGAAGAACCTGGACTATAAACCCACAAGTCGTTTTTGGGAAATAATTTGCCCCCAGCTTTTGTATGGCATACTGCCTACCAAGGCCTTGTTTAGACTTGACCTGAAGCTTGTGAAGTGAGAGAAGAGAACCGCACTGGTGCAGCCCTGTTGGATGAAAGGTATTTCTCAACCTGAATAGTCAGCTGGCTGTTGGGCTGCTCAGTCAATAACCTCAAGGGTTTTCTGTATGTGCATAACCCTAATGTGATGTTGGCAGATGAGTGGCAAGGATAGACTGAAGTCAAGAAAATTACTCCTACAATAAGTCTAGTTTTAGCAACTCAACCTAAAAGCAAAGAATCTCTAAAAAGAGGAGTGTGTAAAAGTAGTTGACTAAAAACATAAGCAACAGTGAAAGTGAGAGCTTCAAGCCAAGGATCAGTTCCCTACTAGTGTCTGAGAGTAGGGTGTGTGAGCCTGAGGACAATAGAATAGCTTTATACACGTCCTCTAAAAGGTTTAAAGGCCCAGTGCAGTCAAAAACGTGATTTTCCTGAGTGTACAAACCATTAGGAACATCTGCTTTTTCCATGACAGACTGACCAGGTGAATCCAGGTGGAAGCTATGATCCCTTATTGATGTCACCTGTTGCTGTCAGTGGTAGTAGAGATGGTGTTCCTTCGAGGAGGCAAGAAAGTGGAATATTTTCACAAGGAGTCGTTTAATTGGATTTCGGAGGAGGAATGGAAGAAAACAAGATGGGAAGAAGAGGTTGAAGAGAATGAGGGAGGTAAAGGTTGAGTCAATCTGTTGAAGATGGCGGAAAAGAGGGAGGTGTGTCGAAGAAGATTGGTGTCAAGTGCAAACCGAGTGAGCCGTATGCCAGACCAAGTTCTGGAGGTGAAATGGAAATGAAGGAGGGCGAGTTAAGTGAGGTGGAAGGTGTGGTGAAGAGCTCGGAGCCCGAGCCTGGCATCGATGGACATGATAAAGAATCTGGTCCAGTAGGAGTGACAGTTTTGGAGAAAGTGGATCCTTGCCTTTTGGCAGATCCATTTGTGGTTTCAGGGTGGGTGGGAAAGGAGTTGGGTGCAGTTGAATCAGTGAAGGTAACCTGTAGTGGTCTTGTGATATTTGTTTGTGTTTCTTTTGCCCAGAGGGAGCGGGCGCTCCGTGTCACGCAACTTGGGTCAAGATCTGTTTCTTGTTTAGGATTAGGGCATCATTGAAAGGAGTGATTTTTGGGGTAGCGTTAAGTGTGGAGGTGGAGCAATTGAAGTTGTAGATTCTTGGTGTTCGTGACGCCCGCCGTTTGATGTGACGCAGACCCGGTGGTGAGCGTGGTGAAACAGAAGAGTCAACGTCAGTCCTTTTGAGTCGCAGTCTTTACCCAATAAAGTCATGTTAGGATATATCAGTTATCCTGTTCGAGCTTTTGTGCTGAATCCACTGCAGTGTTTCAGGTGCAACGTTTATGGTCATGTTGCAGCAGTGTGTAGGAGGGAGATTCCAAGATGTGGGAAGTGTTCAGGAGGGCATGGGACAGGGGAGTGTGTAGTTTCGATGGATAAAGTTGTGTACCAACTGTAGGGGTGCCCATGTTGCTGGGGATCGGAAGTGTCCGGTGCGAGAGCGGCAGGTTGAGGTGGCCAGAGTCAGAGTAGGGTGAAGGTGTCGCATGCTGAGGCAGTGAAGAAAGTAGAGGAGGATGGGTCAAGGATCCTGAGAGGATCCCAACGAGTGATTTATGCTTCAGTAACGTTGGCTTCTTAGTGTTCATAGCAATGGTTATCAACTGTACTGCAGAAATCACAGAAAACAGATGTGTTGGCAGCTGCAGAGAAGTAGATTTGACTTCAGAAGATTTACAGGGTGTGCTGAGCGGTGGTATCCCGTCCTCCCAGGCCGTTGGCATGGT